ACCTCACCCGGCATAGGAATAAATGCCCTAGGAGGCGTGAAAAAACTCGCATGTCTCAGTCACAGATCTCTTTTAATCCTGATGGTAGTATGCGTAATTGAGAGTACTGTCCTATTGTTGCTCGTACTCAACTGGTTCGATTGCTTGCTAGGCTTGATGTTCCTGTCTCTTTGGGAGAATCTAATGCATTTGAAGAGTACATTAAAACTGCTCATAATCCTAAATATGTTCTAGTCTCTTGGCATACCACCACTAGAGACATGCTGAAATACTTCACTGATTACAAGGCTAAGCTTGTTGAGATTGTTAGTTCTGCTGGTGTTAATTGTGTGTGTCTAACCTCTGATATTTGGTCTGGTAATACCAAAGAAGACTACCTTAGTGTTGTTGCTCACTACATAAACTCTGATTGGCAACTAGAGAAGAGAGTGCTTGGTCTTAAGCTTATTGATTGTTCCCACAATGGATAAAATATTGCTGATCGTGTTGCATCTGTGCTTGCTGATTATGGTTTGACTAAAAAAGTGTTTGCTGTTACTTTGGACAATGCATCATCCAATGTATCAACCATGCGTAAACTTAAACCTGTGTTGTCTAAATATCATGGTATTGAGGTTGTAGATGATCCTGTTGAATCACAATCAAACAATGTATCATCCCTTACTACAGTTAATTCAATGTTTTTGCATTAGCGTTGTGCATGTCATATTATCAATCTGATTGTTAAGGAGGCTCTTGAGGCTTTTAAGCCTTTGATTAAAACATTTAGAACTGCAATATCATTTTTAAACTCATCTAACCAGAGAATTGCTGCATATAAAAGTTACTGCATTGCCACTGGTGTTAGGCCTAGAAAGTTTCAGCTGGACATGGAAGTTAGGTGAAATTCTATATATCAAATGCTTAAGCATTTGTTTCCTCATAAGGACCCATTCACTACTTTCATGCATTCTCAATATCCTAGGGATGAAGGTGATCAGTTGCTTTTAACTAATGACCATTGAGTTATGGCAAAAAAATGCTTAAATTTCTTGAACTATTTTATGATTCTACAGTTGCATTGTTCGGTGTGTACCACTTGAAAGGTCCTAATGAGTAGAGGGTGTGAATAGCCTATTAAAAATTTCTACAATAGCACTTAGCAAACCGGTTAGACAAATATAAGGCGAAGCGAGTGTTGCGCTAGCCTACTAAAAATAAAAGCCACCTACCACAATTCTAGTTTATATAGTCTCTATCCACACAATGGCTATGTCATTACACTAAGTTAGTGTACTCTTAAAGGCTAACTAAAGAGCCACACTAACCAAACTAACAAGCTCTCACGACTAGCTATACTAAAGAGCTTAACAACTAGTTTGCGGTAATGTAAAGAGAGAGAGAGATATGGTTATACCGCTGAGTCGAGGAATTAACCAATCAATCACTAGAAAGAATACCAATAAAGGCCAATCACCTCGGAATCAAATGATGACACAATAATTTTTATCGAGGTTCACTTGCTTGCCGGTAAGCTAATCCTCATTGTGGAGATACACTCACTTGGAGGTTCACGTGCTAATTGGAATCATACATCAAACCCTCAATAGAGTGCCGCACAACAAACACAAGATTAGGACCACACAAGCCATGAGCAATTTACTAGAGTACATTTTGACTCTCCATCGGGGAAAGGTCAAGAACCCCTCACAATCATCACAATTGGAGCAGGAGACAATCACCAACTTCCGCTCGACGATCCTCGCTGCTCTAAGCCATCTAGGTGGCAGCAACCACCAAGAGTAATAAGAGAATCCCGCAACGAAACACGAACACCAAGTGCCTCTAGATGCAATCACTCAAGCAATGCACTTGGATTCTCTTTCAATCTTACAAAGATAATGAATCAATGATGGAGATAAGTGGTAGGGCTTTGGCTAAGCTCACAAGGTTGCTATGTCAATGCAAATGGCCAAGCGAGTGAGCTAGAGCTGGCCACACGCCTTTAAATAGAACCCTAACGAAATAGAGCCATTGGCTCCTTAGTCCTCTGAAACACGGGCTGACCAAATGTGTTGGTCAGGTTGACCGGACGCAGGACCCCAGCGTTCGGTTGCCCGATGCTCGCCACGTGTCATCAGCCTCTAATACTGAGCGCCCGATCTTAACGGCTAGTCAGCTTCGCGCCACGTGTTAAGTTATGACCGAACGCACTGTAGTGTAGGACCGGATGCATTGTCGCCTAGCGTCCGGTCACTTCTAGTGAGGTTCCAGAGGCGGAAATTGGCGACCAGACGCGTCCGATGGCTCATGACCGGAGCCAGGCCTACGTCCGGTCAACTCAGCCTCTCTCTGTTGCTTGCGTCAGCGTACGTCACTAGGTGACCGGATGCACCCCCTGCGTGTCCCGTCCCTCTTTCTCTTTAGCATCCGGTCAAGAGACCCAGGGCGGCCTTCACTGCGCTCCACTGACCGGACGCGAGGTCAGAGTCCGGTCACTGCTCAAGGCAGAGTCCGGTCAATACAAAACTTCTTTTGACCCCAAACTTCACCACCCTTGATCAAATGTGCCAACCACCAAGTGTATCACCTTGTGCACATGTGTTAGCATATTTTCACAAATGTTTTCAAGGGTGTTAGCACTCCACTAGATCCTAAATGCATATGCAATGAGTTAGAGCATCTAGTGGCACTTTGATAACCGCATTTCGATACGAGTTTCATCCCTCTTAATAGTACGGCTATCGATTCTAAATGTGATCACACTCGCTAAGTGTCTCGATCACTTAAACTAAAAAGTTCCTATCAATTTTACCTTTGCCTTGAGTTTTTTGTTTTTCTCTTTCTTCTTTTCCAAGTCCAAGCACTTGATCATCACCATGGCATCACCATCATCATGTTATGATCTTCATTTGCTTCACCACTTGGAGTAGTGCTACCTATCTCATAATCGCTTTGATAAACTAGGTTAGCACTTAGGATTTCATCAATTCACCAAAACCAAACTAGAGCTTTCAACTATCCTACATCTCCACTTGTGATTCATTATCTTGTTAAGATTGCTATACACCTAAAGAATTATGCTAATGATAGTTACATCAAACCTGTGGTTCAACCTATGATAGACAAATATAATAAATATTGGAGGGACATACCTTTGTTTTATTCTTTTAAATTCATCCTGGTCCCTAGAACTAAAATGAAAGATTTCAATATAGTGCTTAGGAGGTTGGGTAACCTTACTAGTACAGATTATACTACTTACTAGTTAGGCACTAGAGCTCGACTTACTGATGTTTACAATAAGTATGAGGAGAAATATGGAGCTGTTAGGTTGAGGAGGGCTGCCCCTCCTAACTTATCTGGTAAGAAAAGGTCTGCTTGTGATGAAATTTATGATGATGATGATGTTTGTGGTTCTGCTGGTGGTATGCATCCTCTAGCTGCTACTCTAAGTATGGCTAGAGATACCTCTATAACTGCTCTGCTGCAGGCTACAAGTTCTTCAGCTTCTAATGCTTCTGAACTTGTTTCTTACTTGGACTGTGACACTGTGAACTAGTTAGATGATGATTTTAACATCTTGAACTGGTGGCATCAGCACAAACTCACATATCCAGTGCTGTCAATCATGGCTAAAGATGTTTTAACTGTTCCTGTGTCCATCATATCTTCAGAATCCACTTTTAGTATGACTGGCAGGATCATCGAGGAGCGGCGGAGGAAGCTAAAGCTTGAAATGGTGGATATGCTGACCTACATCAAAGATTAGGAGGCTGCAGAAGTAATGCTGCAACACATGGTGGAGGACAAAGAGCTTGAAAAAACATTTAAAGAACTTTATCTTGATTAGTTATCATTTATGTAATGGAACTGTAATGTTATGGACTGGACTTTGATGTAAGGACAATGAACTTTATAATTGGACCTAGGCTGTACTCTTTTTTCCTGTCCAGGATTTCTCACAAAGGTGAGTTTTACCTAGACAGGTTTTTAATGAGGCAGCCATTACACTAAAGCTCCCTATAAACTGTTATTTTGCTATCTCTGCCTGTGTTTGTGTTAAATGTGCTGTGAAATGCAGGTTATGTACTATTTATTATAAGTTTGATCTCAATTTAATAAATAAAGTGACATATCTGCTTGTCTATCTCAATTTTATTGAAGTCCTGTGCTCATTCTGAGTCAATTGAGGGGTCAGGCAAGTGCCCGTGCCGACACGAGACTGTAGTGCCGCCGTGCTCAGTGGCACGGTACGACACACCTAAGCACTTACAGTGCCATGCCTGGACTGGTATTTCGGCACGACGGCACTAACAGGCACGACACGGCTAACCTACCGTGCCGCGTAGTACCGTGCCTAGCCGTTTGCCTGACCGTGTCCGTGCCAGTGCCGTGCCGGGCGGCCCGTTTGGCCAAGTATATGCGTCCTCTCCCATGTCCTAGTGTGCATGCTTGCTTTCCTATGACCTTTTTTTATAAAAATAGTGGTCTCATCACTTGGAGTTTTTTTAAGTGCTCGGGAACAGCTCATTGATCTAATGGTCAGCGTAGGCTCAGTATCTCTATCGGGGTGGTCAGAGTTTGAGTCTTGAGGTACTCAATTTCGTGGCTTCGGCCATAGCTACGGAAGTGCCTACATCCAAAACAAGGTTTGTGGCCAGCTCATCTTACGAAAGTGCCGTGCCACCGTGTATAGGTGGGATAGGGCTCGAGAGTTTTCTCGATCTATGCAAAAGATATTCTGAAGCCGAAATACCCAGACCTGTCTAGCCAACGTGAATTAGTTTTTTTTAAGAGCTCATCACTTGAAAGTTTTTTTTTTATTTATAGAAAGCTCCACGCCGCCGGCGGACGAGGGTGGTGGCGGTGCCAGTGGCACGCCCACACGGTGCGGCAAGCGGCGGAGGGTGGCGTGCGCGGCGCCCGCTCGCTCGTGCCAGAGACCCCGGGCGACGGAGTTCGGCTCGACTTGGCAGCCGAGGTACGGCGTCACCTCCGTCTGTGGCCTCCGTCGCGAGATGGAGGATGCCGTGTCCATCAGGCCGGACTTCCTGCACGGCGCCGCCGACCCCTCCTCTGGCAAGCACCATTTCTACGGCGTCTTTGACGGTCACGGTTGCTGCCATGTATGGGCGCCCACCTCGTGTCATAACTCATAAGCGAATGCGTGTCAAGTGGTGCTGACTGCTGAGCGGGTGGTGTTCTTGTGCCATCAGGTGGCCTGGATGTGCCAGGACAGGATGCACGCGCTGGTCGCGGACGAGTACAAGAAGGCGGGCTCCGGCAACAGTGCCACGGCGGCAGCGGCGGAGCCGGCCTGGGAAGAGGTGATGAAGAAGGGGTTCGCGCGGATGGATGATGAAGCCGCGAGCCGCAGCAGCAACGGCGGCCTCGCCTGCCGCTGTGAGCTGCAGAAGCCCGCGCGGTGCGACCACGCGGGCTCAACCGCTGTCGTCGCGGTTGTCAGCCCCACCAGCGTAGTCGTCGCCAACGCCGGCGACTCCCGCGCTGTCCTTACCCGCGCCGGCGTCCCCGCGCCCCTATCGGTCGACCACAAAGTAAGCTTTTGCATCCTTAATTGCTCGCACGAGTACGACACTTGTCGTCTCACCTCACCGGGCACCGCCTTGCTCGATCGCCTGCTGTTTCGTGTTCTTCTTACCTTATCCGTTTGCTTCAGCCTGACCGGCACGACGAGCTAGAGCGCATCCAGGAGGCGGGTGGCCGCGTCATCTACTGGGACGGCGCAAGAGTGCTTGGCGTCCTTGCCATGTCTCGAGCCATCGGTGATCGTCGCGCGCTTTTCTTCGAAACCTGAGCTCTCTGTCCAAACAATCGCTAAGAATGCAATTTGCCATTCGGACGGCCGTGCTTAGTTTGAAACTGTTTTGGCGCGCAGGTGACGGCTACCTGAAGCCGTTCGTGACGGCGGAGCCTGAGGTGACGGTGACGGAGCGCACGGACGACGACGAGTGCCTGATCCTGGCGAGCGACGGGCTGTGGGACGTGGTGACCAACGAGATGGCGTGCGACGTCGTCCGGGCCTGCTTCCGTAGCAACGGCCCTCCGTCGCCGCCTGGCGCGCGGCCGAACGGCGTGCAGGGCGGGAAGGCGACGGTGCCAGCGCGGTGAAGGGCGTGGACAAGGTCGACTCCGACGCGGCCCTGCTGCTTGTAAAGGTCGCGCTCGCGCGCCGGAGCACGGATAACGTTAGCGTCGTCGTCGTCGACCTCCGGCGGAGGTGCTGAACTACTGATTCTAGGGGCACCGATTACAATTTACACCCACCCACCGATGTTTCGTCTCTTGTTTTTCTTATGCTATTGAATGTGGATTAATAAATAGTCTAATTCTCTAATCTGCGCAAATCTAATCTGCTTCGTCTCAGTATGATTAGCGGATCGCGAGTTCCGGAGTTCGTCGGGCTGCTCTGGCAGATACAGAACAATTGGTAGAATCCCGTTAGTGTCATGTGATCTGTCGAGATTAAGTTATGCGAGAGGCGGGCATTACATGCGTGATTGGTCACTCGATCGTTAACAAGGTCTTATGCTTCAATTATTCGCTCAACGGCTTAGATTCTTCTTAATCTGATCAATACAAGCTCCTGTTGCAATCAAACTCCTCTGTCAAAGGCATCACTCTCGGACTTGGACACAGTACACACGGCCTTCGAGTGTTTCACACAGTGTTTTTTTCTTTCTTTCCAAATCACATTCGAGTACTCACTATATTTACAGTATACACAGTAATACCAGAGACAACAGTTCACCGATGAAGCGCGACCGCCATTTCATGCATGTACGAGAGCTCACTCCTTCTTCCCTATGCCGTGGGACATGTTGTAGATGCCTCGCCCCTGCACCAAACATCAAGACGTCGGTCGATCAGCACAGATACATGCAAGAGTCCTCCAAAACGCAACAATTTTTTTCTTTGTTCTTGGCATCCAGATAATGAGAGGCGAGGTCGAGAATGCGGGATGGGTATTAGCGGCTAGTGCGGCGCGCTACTTACAACGAGGTACATGCTGGAGACTGCGAGGGCGAGCGGGATGGCGACGGAGGTGATCACGTCGTAGCGGCCCTTGAGGTACGTCGGCTTGTGGACGCTCTGGAAGTACCTCTGCTTCTCCAGGATCTTCTCCCGCGGCCGGAACGGCGGTTCCGGCTCCGGCGACGTCGGCGGCGTCAGCGGCGACATTCGCTCTCGAGCTGTACAGGCTTACAGCAAGCTTCGCACCCGAGATCACTGATCTGTCGAAGCAAGTAGTACTAGTCAGGAGAGCAAGGTAAGCACCAAAGCGAAGGATAGGGATATGCAATGCAAAGCTGGACCGCTGCACGGGAGCATCTCTATCTTTAATAGGTGGCCGAGTCCTCGACCAGAAACCCCCAGAAACGGCTCAAGAAAAAGCAAAGATACGGTGCACAACGATTTACCGGTTCCATTTGACTGAATTCGATCTGACGTCCAAAATGGTCCGGAATGTTCTGCGGTTCGCTGGAACTAGGGGGTACGGACACAACACAGTTGACAGGACCCGTGCTTCACGAGAACCTCCCCGGCCTCCTGCCAAACTCTCTTCTGCTCGTGTTTCCATTTGAACTGGACCTGACAAAGTTGGCATTGACCGGGCCCATACCATTCTCGAATTAGGCCCATCTTGGAAGGCCCGGTAATTGTTTTCGATCCCGGACCGCACGTGCAACGCAAGAGCGCGTAGTCTCCGTGGCGGGTTAGCCTACGGCTGGTCCGAGCCCAGCGACGCGTCTACCACCCCACACCTAGTCCGGACTAAGGATGAAAACGGAACAGAAATATCCCGAACCGAACCGCATCGTTTTCTATATTTAATCCGATCGAATCCGCATTTTCTTGTCCGACTTTACCGTTTTCGCTTTCGCATTTGAGATGTTTCGTATTTCAAATGTAAAAGTAGAAAACGGTTTACACATTTTTCGACCGTTTTCTACTTTTCTACTTTTAATTTGAAATATTCCGAATTCAAAATTCGGTTTAAACCGAATTTGGCCAACTGCACAGGTCATACAGCCCAATTACAGGCTGCTCACCACACAGCTGCGTTCTTTCTACTGGTGGCTAGCTGCCCTCTCTTATAGACGGCGCCTAGCCTCATCTCTCTTATTATGTATTTGGTCATGCACTTGTTTAATGCTATGCACTTGAACTAGATCATGCACTTGTTAGTTGTGAAGTTATTATGTATTTGGTCGTGCACTTGTTTAATGCTATGCAATGTGGGTCGGTATTTCGTATTGAATTTTCGCATACCGACCGTGTTCGACATAATTCCGCTCGAATTGTTTCGTTTCCGAAATTCTAGATATTCCGTAAGTTCGTGTTCGTTTTTGTGTCCGGCTTGTTCGCTTTCGCTTTCGCTTTCGTATTTGAAATGTAAAAGTAGAAAACGGTTGAGGAGTTTTTCGACCGAGTTCGACCGTTTTCATCCTTAGTCCGGACGTCCGATCAGACCGCTGCCATCCGGACGCTCCCCGTTGAAGGAGCGCCTACCGCATAGAGCTCGTGATGGAGCGCACCAGCAATGAGCTAGCGCCGCTCAGACGTCGTCCACGCCGCCCCAGATGTCGTCCGCCGACCGTTTTCCACGCGTATCCCCACGTGGAACCTTCGATCTACTTTTAAAACATCCAGATGTAATAGTTGCAACGTACAAAAGAAGATAGATGAAACACTTTGAAATGAGCGTCTAAAACACTTACGAAAACGCATGAAAAACATTTGAAAACCATTGCAACATATACAACATTCAGACGAAACACTTGTAAACATACGTATGAAATACCTGAAAACACTTGAAACATATGTCTGCAATGTGCATGCGTATGCAACATCCATATCTACTTTTGCAAGACAAAACACTTACAACATTCGTCTGGAACATATAAAACATTTGGAACATACACTTGAAACATACGTGTATAGCAATTACAACATGTGCAACATTTCGATTTACTTTTGCAACATCGATATACAATACTTGCAACATAACTCTGAAAACATAAAAAACACTTGAAACATACTAGTGCAACATGCGCTTTCAGTGTAGCATCTGCTTGCTGCTTGGACGAATGGAGGCTCATTGACGCGGCGCTCGACGCGGCGCAGAGTTCGAAGCTGCGGCACGGAGGTCACCGGTGTGGAGCCCGTCGGCGGTACGGACCTCGGTAGGGGCAGAAGCATGCGGATGGAGCGTGGCCGCGACGGGAGGCGCAAGTCCAGGTGCGAGCTAGCGAGCGCCTAGCGCGTCGGGCGCGCTGTGCGCGGCGCAGGCGGGCTATGGGGGCGCAAGCGGGAGCGGCATGGGCAAGGGCGGGGTCCATCCCACGGGCAGAACGAACGGGCTACGTGGGCGGGGACGGCGTGGGCAAGTGAGGGACCGTCCGGACGAACGGAGGGCCTACGAGGAGCGTTTCCTTGAAATATTCAGGTAGTGTTGGTTTTGGGCCGAGGAGCACACACTTCAAAGTAGTCCCACTTCACTAAGTGTTTGATAGAAGAGTCCGCCACCTCGACATCTCGTGGCAGTCTACGTCGGCTTGTGCTCGCATGCGTGGCACTCGGGGATTGCTGATGTGTGGTCGTGCAAATGCGTGGCCTTGGCAGCCAACGACACATGGTGTGGTGCGTGCATGGATGCAGCAACATGCTGAGGCCATGACTAGGCCGCGAGTTGCAGCGCGACCTGTGTCATAAAAATGCCAATGTTGCAGAGTAATTAATGGCAAAGAAACGATGCATTAGGAGTGCCCTAATAAACCTCGGACTGATCGAATTATGGACACAATTTGGTCCATCACGCACAAATCTGCATTTAACGGAAGTTTCATATTAGATATATATAGAATAAACATAGTGTCACATAGAGGAGAGAGAAAAATTGAGACCATATATATAAAGAACCATATGCCAAATAAGTAATTTCCTTAACCTTTTTTGGCACACCAAATGTTTGGTGATGGAACGAACGTCTTGTAGCATGGCAGACTCCGTCTCTCATAAAAAAAACACCCCTAAAATCATGTCATACATATATACTTGCTTAATATCCCTAGTAAAAAGTTCATATGACTTCTCTGAACTATTGTGAAAGTCTAATTTGCCTTCTCCATTCAGAAAACCAGATTTTTAGGCTCCTCAACTTAAAAACCATCTGTTTTACCTCCTTGAATAATTTTAAAAGCGGTTTTGGCCACAAGAAAGATAAATTGGACTTTCATAATAGTTTAAGGGGCAATTAGACTTTATTAAAAACTTGTAGAAATATTTTTCTAGATAGCTTTCTAAAAAATATATTTAAAAATACTAAAGTATTATTTCATCTTAGAAATTTTGTTTTAGCTCAGAAAATATGAAACCAGTTTAATTTCTAATCATGCTCTATGCTTTTCTGACATCACTCACAAGTTAAACATAAAAAATAAACATAGTGTCACGTAGAGGAGGGAAAAGTTTTAAGCTATGTCAACTTTAGAGATCACATAAATAATTTCTTAATTTCCTTTGGCACACCAAATGTTCGATGATGAAACAAACATCGGTCTTGTAGGGTCGAAAACTCTAGCTCTCATCCAAATAGATCCAAAATCACGTCATCCCACTCATGTATACTTGCCCAATATTCTAGGAAAAAGTCTATCAAATCTCCTTCAGCTATCACAAATTTCTGATTTACCTCGCTCTATCCAAAAATTGAATATTTGTACTCTAACTTTTAAAACCGTTTATTTTACCTCCCTGACCGGTTTTGAAACCAGTTTCATATTTTTCTGAAATCATGAGCTATGTTTTTTCTAAGTTAGGCACCATCTAGAGAAGCAGTCGCGTCCAAGTGGTGTAGAAAATTTGCCCCTAAGGGCATATGCCCCCCTATGCAAGCACTGTTGGATGCGCATAGGGATACATGTGCAGCAGGAGAGAGAATCCTCTCTCGTGCTACACACATACCCCCATGTGCATCCAATGGTTCAGGTCCATATGCAGAAACCCAACGGATGCACAAGAGTTTGCCCCCATATGCGGAAAACCAATGCGTTCAGGTCCGCGATTGAACAGTAGTAAAGAGTCATAGCAAACCAGTAGCGATTTGTACTAGAAAACAAGTAAGTGTAATCCCCCTAAAAAAATAAAATATGTTGACACGAAGAGAAACATATTTACTAGTTAAACACCAAAGATCCATTCGTGAACATTTTACCTCGAAGAATTTTGTCAACATTTCGTGGCCACATGTGGCAGCGCACAACAACGAACGGACCAGAATTCCTCGTCCTCTTCACCAAATGAAGTTCGCGCACTTTCAAATGGTGTTGACGCTGGAGAACTCCTGTTGCTTCTGAACTCTTCCTGCTGCTGAGGAGCCCCCTTTTCGAGCTCGTCGGTCTTGAAAGCACCGCAGAATCCACAATCCACCGAATAAAATCACCCTCTCTCGTGTTACACACACATCCCCATGTGCATCCAACGGTGCATGCACATGGGGACATATGCCCTTAGGGCCAAAAACAACATTCTCATCGGCCAAGTTGCATACATTGATTTGCGAGTCTGAGAAGTCGCATGGAGGTTGCCGTTGATGTCTGTGATGTCCTCCGGAGAAAATAATATTGCCACAAAGTTAAACCATATGATACACATTGTTAATGTACAATAAGAACATGAATTATATTTTTTATTTGAAATTTCTTGTTCATGTCTTGATGGTTATGCGACATGTTGTTACTAAGGAAACATTGTTTGATGTTTATATGGCAGGTCTGCAAGGATTTGCCTTAGATTGCATCATGTGTTTCTTATTGGCATAGTTTCGGACTTTAGGAGACCATATAGATTCAAATAATTATAAGTAAGGGGAAAACGTAGAGCAAGATTTTAGGGAAAATATAAAACCAGTTTCATATTTTAATGAGTTAAATTTAAATTCCTATGATTTTTCTAATATTCAATCAGATTTTAGTGTTTTTAATGCATATGTTTCATGAAAAGTATTTAGATAATTTTCTTAAAAATATTTCCATAGTTTTTTTTTTGATAAAGTCTGATTGACTCACCTGACCTATGATAGTTTGGTTTACCTCCTCGTGGTTGATGTAACATCATGTTAGCCAAAATTATGCATTGAAATAAATTTAACGGTTTTAAAAGTTAGAGAAGTCCAAAAA